ATCAGTCTAAATGCTTAAATTCCAAAGGACGGTAACCTCTTTATTCTGTACATCTTATGGTGGCTTAAGCTCTCACAAATTCTCTTTGTGAGGGAGGTTGAATGTGAAACACATTCACCAGTGTACGCATTGAACAGGTCCTATCATATCATTACAAGTGGTTATTTTATTATGTTTGTGTCGCATATTGATATTGTCAAAGGAAATTCTGTTCCTGGGGCATGGTGCCAGCAAGATTCCTCATAACTCAAGAACTTTTTGGAGAATTCTTCTAGAGTAAATGATAAATTTTCTGCAGGTCTATAATCCCGTTTTCCATTCCAATTTTTTATAAGCGCTCTTTCAATTTTCTAGGTTGTCTTCCAAGTGCACCCGTTATGAACGGGAATACTTCAACAGTTATGTACCATAGCTTTTTCAACTCTCTAGCGAGGTCCTGGTATTTTCCCATCATTTCAGTATCATTGAATTCTACATTTGAGTCATATGGACAAGTAAAATCAATAAATTGGCATTTGATCGATATATTTGTTTCTTCATTTTTACATTAATTCCCACAGCTCCAATAACAACAGGTAATGTGTTTGTCTTGAGATGATGCATTCTACTTATTTCGATCTCGAGGTCCTTGTGTTATTATTATTATTATTTGCCTTTGCTTAGTGCAGTACGTGTTGACCTCCCCAATTCTCAACCCGAGACTTCAAGAGACAACAGGTTTTGTGAGTCCAATCAAATGAAGTACCACACAATCTGGCCACTTCTTGGTTTGGCTTCGCGAACGAAGATTTATGAAGTGGGCTGTCCACGTCGACTGCAGGCACGCCGATGGCCAACTGGGCCGATTCGGGAGAGGCAAGTCCAGCCGCAGCGACTCCAATTAAAGGTCTGGTATAGTATAGCTGCTAAGGCTTCCCGGTCCTTCCACCCACGGCGTTTCTCCTTCATGTTCATCCTGCGAGAGTCCTCAAAGGTGGAGACGGCTTGGTGGACGGTGCGGCGCCTGGCTTGACGGCCAGCTGCAAGTGTCGACCACTGGCGATGGTCAATGCGTCAGGTACCGAGGGATATCTTGATCGAGTCCTTATAACGCTTTCCTTGATGCCCTTCTGTCACGGTGGCCAGTGGAGACGTGCCCTGCCAGCGTAGCTGTGACTTTAGAAACATGGCTTCAATGCTGGTGATTTCCGCCTGTTTGAAGACCTCAACGTGTCTGGCCACTACACAGATAGATATCTACGCAGGCTTTGAGAAGTACCCATGTGCATGACATTTTTTTCATTATTTGATCCACATGTTTGTTTGTCCCTTTTAATATTAATTCTAAAAGACCCAATAACAACAGCTAATGTTGTCTTCAAATGCTACACTCAACTGATTTCTATTTCCATGTCCTTGTATTATTATTTTTATTTCCTTTGATTTCTGGCTTTTACGCATTTCTTTCCGGGTCTCGCCTAGGAACCAAAGGTTAGAAATGGCATCATGACACTTTCTACTGACAAAGAAAAAAAAAGAAAATATATAGATTAAGCCCTTCGTAAAGTGTGGGATGTACTTGTCCGAACCATTTTTTGTATCTCTTTAAGGCATGGGCTTCCAGGAATCGCTTCAATTAGTTTACTGGAATCTTTTCCAACCAATCCTAGGGCTCCAACTACAAGAGGGATTGCTGATGTTCCCATGTGCCACATTTTTGAGATTTCAATTTCAAGGTTCTTGTATTTTGACAGCTTTTTGAATATCTTCAAAGATACATTGCAGTCTGCAGGGACTGCCATATCAATAAGGAGGCACCGTTTTTGTTTGTGGTCTTTAATAACAATGCCTGGGCAGTTGGCTTTGATTGTTCTGTCAGTGTGTATTGTGTAGTCCCATAGAATTGTAACAGGTCCTATCTCCGTAAACGGGTCTGGATGATGTTCATACCAGTTTCTTTAAGTTTCCTTCCTGTAGAAGTTTTCCAGTGCAGATATTGGCCCACTCTGTCATGCCGGGTTTTATACTCAGTGGGTGCCAATATTGTGCAACCTGATACAAGATGATCAATTGTTTCTGGATATTTATCCCAGACTCTGCATTTTGGGCTAACACAATATTTTAGTAAATGTACTTGATAATTCCAAGTTATTATTATTATTATTATTATTATTAGTAGTAGTAGTAGTAGTAGTAGTAGTAGTAGTAGTATCTGCTTCGATTTTTGTTGTATACTCATTCCCTTTCGGGTCCCAACCAGAGACCTAAAATCAGAAATGGCGTCATGACATTTTCCAATGAACATTTTTATAAAACATCAAAATAAAACAACTTAAGATCACACACATTTTGCATAAAGGCCTTTCGTAAAAGTGTGAACTGTACCTTTGACGACATGTTTTTTTTTTTTTTGTTTTTTTTTGTATTTTTTTGTATTTCTACAAGGTATCCCTTCGAGGAGTCTATCGGAATCTTTTTCAATCAAACGGAGGGTTGCAACCACAAGCGGAATTATTTGTCT